TAGGCTATCATCAGTGGTGATATAGACTATCATCACTCAAGCTAAAGCCCCCTCCACAAGGTTGGCCTATTCTTATCAAGTGAAATCTGTTAATTAACTGATGTGCTACCTGAGCGGAAGACCCACAGAGATGCGCAGTTGTGTCATTGCATTCCTTCCTGCAGGAGAGGTTGGAAGGTCAGTTGTCACCTTACATTCTAAAAGTGTATGTGGCTGCCATAGCAGCACATCAAGATGCAGTGGATGGTAAGTCTTTAGAAAAGCACAACCTTATCAACAGGTTCTTCAGAGGCATCAGGAGATTGAATCCTCTTAGGCCATAACGTATTCCCTCATGGGATCTCTCTGTAGTCTTGCTTGGCCTACTGGGAGCTCATTTTTTGGAGTCAGTCGAGTTTAGGGCCCTCTAGTCTAAGACGGCACTCCTGAGTCCTGACCACGCTCACTTCCATCGGTAGGGTTGGGGACATGCAGGCATTCTCTTTCAGTGAAACGTGCCTTAAGTTTGGTTCTGCATACTCTCATGTAATCCTGAGACCCTGACTGGTCTACATGCCCAAAGTTCCAACTACCCTATTTAGGGACCAATTGGTGAACTTGCAAGCACTGCGTCTAGATGTGGCAGACCCAGCCTTACCGTTGCTTATCGTTATTTACTTGGACTGCACACAGAGCTTTAGAAGCTCAGGGCCCCGTTCTTCGTACGTCGCTAACTCAGATAGCTGGATTTGATTGTTGGCGATTTGGCATGATCTTGGATTGTTTGGTTCTTCGGCGCTCATCCTGGACTTGCTGTCATAGCTACAGGTGCGCTAGCTTGAACCTGCTCGTGAGCAGGCTTATTTCAGGTTAACAGGATTAGATCGCTGCTTTATAAGCGGAGGTGAAACGGGAAGTCTTTTAGCGCAGCGCAATAGTGTACTTTTTGAGAGATATCATTTTTCTCATGACTCGTGAGGATGGCATTTACATCATTAATTTGTTGGAAACGCATAAATGTTCGACTCAGAGTCGGGTTTTAACATAGGTTTTAATAGCAGTGCAGGCAAGTTACTATTGCGATCCTTATCCAGATTAGTAAGATTATATCAAATTTTATAAAGGCAGTTGACTGACTAATCTCTTAGATGGTGTGTGACTATGTTCCATATCACAAATATGGCCAGCATCTGTGCATGATTCAAGAATTTTCAGAGATTTATTCACATTATTTGAACGTGGTAAGGAATAATATATCAAGCTCACTGTATTACATACACTTATGCTTATCCTAACAGAACTGAATTTTTCCATTATACAGGTGATTACAGTAGGATCCTGCCTGGAGACAGGTGTTTTATGACCCCATTCCCTGACCAGTTACAATGTCGCTCTAGCCAGGACAAGGGCACACAATGAAGTGAACTTTAGCCAACTAAAGTGTCTGAAAAGTCTGAGGGTTGCACCTGACAGGGGCCTGTGACATTGCATGGGCCATATTACACAACATTTCACCATCAGAAAAAATATAAAACATTTCATTAATGTTTAATAAAAGAACAAGACAAATATGCTTAGTTCTTTGAGTTTTATTTTAATTATTCTTTGTAAAGAAAAGCCAGTGATCAAGTCATCTTTTGCCTGGAAATAATATTGCACTCTGTGTGAAATAATATATTAGCACTTATTCTGAAGTTCCTATGAAGCAACTCTATCTAGTGCCAGTTTTTTTTTTTTCTTTAAGTTGTCAAGTATTTTCAAAATACTCTGTTTTCTAGGGGTAGGGGTGAACCTGTCAACACAAGGCTTATGCATCAAGAATTAAAAGGAAAAGTACAACACTGCCCACCTCTGCATCACTGCTTTGTGCAGACTCTTCTGTAGATGTGGACTCCTGCAACTCATATTGCATTCAGAAATAATAGGTATTCAAGTGTAAATTAAGTAAAGATATTTATGCACTTTAAGATACCTGAGAGGGTTTCTTCACTGTCCTGTGCATTGGGGGAAAATGGGCATTACAAAGTGTTGTACTTTCTTCCCTTTTGAGTAACATTAGAAAAAGTCCACTTACTGCACATGCTTCAGCCACTTGCTTGGGAACACATAAAAGTGTTAGTGTATCGAAGTGATACAATGAAGTGCACTGGGGGGAAATGTGATCAATAACTCATGGCAACTTTTTTACATTAAGTTATGTAGTTAATTAATTAAATTATGTAGTTTCACAGTCACACATGTAGACTTTCACAAGTCAAAGCAATTCATTACTAACAGCTGATATGACTGGACAGCCATTTGGATTATAGGCCTACTTAATTTAATGCAGCAACAAATTATTTTATAGTGTACTAGGATCATTTAAAGTTCATTTACCAGCAGTGAAGGTGTTGCTGCTCCTGGCTGTGGGTCTGAGGAAGAGCTGAACACAAGGATGCCCTCCACAAGGTTCACATTTAACCCAAGGGCCAGCTCTTCTGCCAGGGGAATGTGCGAATGTGGAATGTTTGTTTGTTTTCTTGCTTTTATAAACAGGCAAACGTTTATTAACAGTGCCTTTTTAAAATGGATTAGTTAGTACAAATTACTATTATGTAGAATATAGTACTTCACTTGTACTTGTTCCTATGTTCTAGCAGTGGGTGTGACTCTGACATTACAATGAAAAAATTATTAATTATTTAGAAATTATTCAAATCTAAATAAAATATATACTGTAATAAGTTATAAAAAAACATCTAATTCCAAACTTAATTTGTCTGCTACTTTTTGCCGGCTCTCTCTCCTGGCTTGCGCACACTTTAAGGTGTTTCCTGCATTTTAATGAAGTTTCCAAATTCAGCTTATCCTTCAAGCAATAACTCTTACTCTTCTGTGAAGAAAAAAGCAGAGCGCGCTCTTTGGCCACGTTGAACAGCCAATAGCAGCGTTGCTGATCAATGTTTCTACTATCGATACATATCCCCTTTTAACCCAGCGCATGAACGCGCAATTATCTCAGATAACACAATCCAGCTATACTAATCATAACCGGCAGGAGTGTTCGAAGAACCCAATTAGCCGGATCATGATGAGCACGATGATATTATCTTGGATGTCTCATTTGATCTCGGATGTTTTAAGCAACGTACGAAGAACGGGCCCCTGAGCAGCTCTTTATCTGTTTTGGGGGACAGCAGAAGGGGAAGGCTATCTCCAAAAAAGAGGTTGGCCCAATGGATCATGGATGATATTGCCTTAATATTAATATTGAACACACACGAGGAGTGTTGCATCCTACTGGGCTTTAGCCAATGGCGTCTCTCCAACTGACATCTGCAGAGCGGCAGGCTGATCGACATTTAGCATCTTTTTACTATATCCGGGTTGAGCCAGTGTCGTCCTGTGTGTTGTCGGGTACAAGCAGGTAAGCTGTGGGCAAATGGTCGAGTGCTCCACCTGCACACAGCACCTTTCCCCTCCCTGAGGCAATAACATTTTTATCCATGTGAGTTCTCCAGACTAGCAAACTCTGAATGAATCTTACCTTTCAGTGGTGGGTTGTTTCTTTAAAGAAGTAGAAGAACAGAAAATGTCAAAAGAAAGTCCGGCTAAAATAACCTATTCCTATTCCCTTTCGGTACCCGGGTGGTACGAAGGACTGCATGGCTTACCTGGCCCGCTGTGAAGGTTACTATGTGGCGAGTGCATGCAGTAGTTACCCGGCACACAGTGGTTTGTCGACATCTGTTTTGCCAGAACTTCATAACTCTTCACTGGTTGTAGCTCTTTCCATAGCAACCCCTGGTGTCAGCCCTCAGCACCACGTCGAAGTGACTGGTAGATAGGGAACATCCTGTTTACTGGCGTAACATGTGTTCCCTGATGGAGGGAATGAGACGTGGTGTCCATCCTGCCACAATGCTGGAATACACGTTGGATGACCAGGACACGCTCTTGGCTCCTCAGCACAAACCTGAATGAGTGGAAGCACACTATCTACTTTTATACCCATATGTCTGGGCAAGTGGCGCATGCAAATTCCACTCTCCAATTCTCACTGGCCTTTTCTGTAGTATCAGAGGGGCTCCCAAGTGTGATCAGAATCTGTTCCCTGCATGGAGGGAACAAGGCTTGGTGTCGGGGAGGACTGACACTAGGGGAACAGAACATCAGGGAACAGATTCTGATTAGGAATGTTTGCCAGACAAATTTTACTCCTAAACAAAGTGTTCCCCATCAAGTGCTTTTCAAAACCTATAAAAATTGATTTATTTGCAAATTAAAGGTTCTCAAAGCGATCCTGGGTGTTGACGTTCGAATATTTTCAAAAGAAATCGGAGCTAGACCCTCCCTCCTCCGCATCTCATCTCCTCCCCCTCCCTTCCGTGCTTCCTGAAATAATTGTGAACGTGCATAGTTCTAGCTAGCTAATTATATCTTTGTGTGGGATTGGCGAACATAAGCGTCAATTTAGAAGAAAAAAAAACAATTTAACGTTACCCACCTGTCCAGCAAAAACAGAGCAACCTGAATGTCGGACTGGAAGCCCTTCTGCCGCCGGAGTTCTCGCCATCGTTCAAAAGCTTTGCTTACCGATGTAAATTCGGAACTTCGCACATTCTTTATCCGACTCCTTCTTTTTAATTTGTTCCTCAGAACGACGTCTCTTTGGTCGTGTGTCGGTAATTTTTCAAACTTCCCTCTGATGCTTCGCTGCTCTCCTTCACACACACACACCCTTCATGTGCACGCGCACTAACCCCCCAGACCCACCCTCAAATACTTCTTGCCAGTGATTGGCTGGAACACTGTTTGTTAGGTTTCGTGGTCCGGGTAAGACATGATTGTTTTTGTTGCCGTTTGTGGAGCCTGTGGTGTCTACAGAGACCGCGTTTTTTTACAGTGTGTTTAGGGGACAGGCAGCTAGCCGATAGTGAGGAGACGTTTGATGTATGTGACAAAAAATGTTTTGGCCCAGCATCGCTTAGAGAACCTTTAAACATTACTAATTGGTAACTTCAGACCTTATGTAGATGATTTTAATAATTCCATTCTTCCTCCAGTTGTCCTTTCTCAGGCTCCCCCTCCTGCCCCTCGGTGTAGCGGTCCTCTGTCCCAGGGGAGAGGCTGTCCTCCCCCACAGCTGTGTGAATGAGAGAGGATGTCAGTGCTGTTATCTGGACTATCTCCAGGGTGCAGTATCAGCCCTGAACAGCACTCGACCAGACACAGTCAGAGCAGCCCCGTCAGCAGCGACATGACTGATACAATCTGTGTTTGGTGAATCAGCTCTTGCTCCCTAGTTTCTCTCTCTCACACACACAAACACACATATTTTCACTCGCTCTTGTCAGAAAGCCCACAGGGAGCCCCTCAGCTTTACAGCTAATCAATTCAGTGCAAATAGTTTTATTGACATGACAAATGTTACATCTGCATCTCCTGAACAGATTTGGACAAGCTGTGTACCTATAGAGAGAAGGACAGAATATATTTCTGCACTGATGATATTTGTTTGATACTTAAATAACCAACTCACAGAAGAAAAACCATCACAAACATTGGCATGTGTACAGTATAAGCACCCAAATACAGATTTTGGACTCGACTGACTGCAATGATTCTTACTAATGAATATACTATAGATGATGGATGGATGGATGGATGGATGGATGGATAGAACAGATCGTGTGAATTAGAATACTAATTCTGGAAAAACAGGGGTCTGATGTATATTAAGTGGAAACTTGCACATTTCATGTTCATATGTAAACTGCATGAGTTTAGTTGTAACAGCACAAACAAAATGTACAATCTTTTCAGTGTCTATAAGCTATACCATTAAACACATGGATGGGGATATGGATATGGAAATGATATGCAGATGAGGTTATGCATAGCAAACTAAGTGTTGTACACTCCATATATGGTTGTGGAGGAGCCGGAGTGCGGATGTATGGCACAATCTTCCACGGTCTAGGATTTCTAAAAGGAATTTTGTGTGGATTTTGAATTACCTGTGAAGCTGCTGGTATGTATTTGTGAAAAAGCGTTATACAAATAAATGTTAATATTACTTATAATTATATTACTTATAAACTAATGTTGTTAGAATTATTCCTGGAACTTAAACAATCAACCAATGGTTAACTGGGGAATGGATAAATGATAAAATGTTGATCTTTGAATGTACTGTAAGTCATTTTGGATAACTGTAAATGTAAATAATTTAATAAATGTAATAATGTGTAACATGATTTAATGGTTTTGGTGTGCCAAGAAATCACTGCCAACACAAAAATGATCACTTTTCCCCATATATTTTACTGAGCTTGAAAATGACGGTGTAAACGTACTAAAAAACTGATTTTCTTTGTTCAAACTTCTGTTCAAAACAAATTTGGTGATGCCACTAGTCAAGTCAAGTCACCTTTATTTATAATTATGGTGCTTTTTACTATATAGATTGATTTGAAGCAGATTACAGTGATAACAGGAATTAAGCAACAAAAATTGTTTTCACTGTTTTCGCTTCGTCGTTTTTATGTGGGCGGAGCTTATGTGGAGGCAGAACGATCCCTTGGGTCGCTTCACTAATGCTAGTTAGCAAGTTTTATTAGCTTGTTTTTTTAACAATGACTGGAGAAAATCTGATTTTATCTTAATGTGTAAGGTCACTCACTGTCCAGGACCACGATTGTTATTTCCAAAAGTTATTTTTAACGGGCAGAACCAGATTGGCCGACCCGTAGCCGCCTACATGCTCACTCAATGCATGGACGATCTGACAGGATTAACATTACGTTACCTCGGTTGAGTGGCCTGACTTCTACACCTACCTTATAGAGAAACCGATCGTAAAGAGAAACTGATGGCATATAAATCTTTAGATGCCTATAACTATGTGCTGAATGGTCCTGTACAAGACTTTTGTGTATGATCCGCAGTTCTGCCGAGCCAGGGCAGAGAAGACGAGTGTCATGACGGTGCGATTTTAATCATGTGAATATTTCCTAGAAATAAAAAATCCAGATACAGCATATTCGTTTTTCATTGATACTTGCACCAAACAACACAATAAGATGACATTTAAAAATGATAAAAGTAACTTAAGCTCCTTATTATGTAGCCGAATCTGTGCTGGTTTGCATTGGCCGCCTCCAGTTTTCACTTTGTTTTGCCTCCAGCTAGCGCCGTAACGTAACTGTGACGTCGGCGCAAAAGGGGTCTATAGCAGCTCTACAAGTAAGTCATTGTCCAGTTTAAGTAAGTCCAGCTTTGATTCATTTTCGGTTGTAAAAATCATTAGTTATTCATTTTGACAACACCATTTTCATCTGAAAACAGAAAACTGATACGTTCTGGCTGTTTATTTACACAACTCAATATTTGATTTCATTTAATCCACATTTAGATAGAACTATTCTTTGTTTTATTCTTTTCAGTGCATTCAAGATGATGAAAGGTGAAAAATCCAGTCTGATGCATTTAAAAGCACACACAAGATATGTATGCATTTATGCATTCTTCTGTAAAGGACTATTTCATACGGTCTCTGAAGTGCAGGAATTGCTGTTCCAAGCTGTTGCCTCTCATTTCCCTTCTGAATCTCTTACTGCTGTTCCACTGCCTGCTTCCATTCCCTCTGCTCTGAGCGAGAGTTGGGAAGAAGCGAGTGACGTATGGAGCAGAAATGTGTTTGCTACTCAGCTGAATCACTGTTAGATTATGTCTGTTTTGGACCCTCAGAGGGTGTCAGTTAGTCAGAGAGTCAGAGATGTGTCTGAGATCAAACAACGCATTCTCACCCCAAGGCGTCACCTTTGACCATGCATCAATATTTGACACTTTAGGCGCCCTTTAGCGTCAGTTACATGACGCGGTTCTTAGGCGTCATCTAACTGACGCTAAAGGAAAGCGTTAGTTAGATGACGCGGTTAGGTTTAGGTCTGGGGGTGGGGGTAGGGTTACACGCGATCCTAGGGCGTCATTTAACTGACGCTGAAGGGCGCCTAAAGCGTCAAATATTCTGAGCCCCAAGGCGTCACCTAACTGACACCTTGGGAGCATTTTGACCATGCTTCAATATCTGACACTTTAGGCACCCTTTAGCGTCAGTAAGATGACGCCCTAGGATCGCGTGAACCCTACCCCCACCCCAGACCTAAACCTACCCGCGTCCTCTAACTGACGCTTTTCCTTTAGCAGTCAGTTAGTTGACGCCGTAGGATCGCTTCATGTAACTGACGCTAATGGGCGCCTAAAGCGTCGAATATTGAAGCATGGTCAAAAGGTCACGCCTTAGGGTGAGAATGCGTTGAATTTTCTTGTGTCCCACACTACATGTGATTTCATAAGGTATATGAGAAGGATGGAAACTATTTATAAAGAAAATGTTCATGTAGTTCAAACAATAGTCAACAACAGACAACAAACAATAACAAGGTCATGGGTTAATAAATAAAATGCATAAATTGCAATCTCAGTCTCTTGGGATAAAGTGTCTACCAAATGCAAATGCGTATGAAATTGACACTCAACATTCAGATCCATCAAGCCTCTCCCTTTTGATTTCCTGTTACTTTTCTCTACTACAGGTTTATAACTGCTCAGTGCCACACAGGTCCCAGGATCATTAATGGCGCTCATATCTAGCATAGGTCTCAGTTTCCGTCTCACAGGTCATTTTTCACCTCCCAAACGTGCTCTGATGTTCTGCAATAATTCAATTAACAAATGACCATCCATATTTGATTAAGGCTTTAATAATTGCCAGCCATGGCTAGATAACTTTTGATAACTAGTGCCCTTTAAAAGATAATTCACTCTGATAAGTAATTATACTTTTCTATTAGAGTTCCATGATGGACTTCTACCACTCATTTGTAGGGAATCTGTAGAATATTTAAAAGGAAATTACTTAGCTTATGAAATTAAACTGTCTGTAAAGCAGAACTTCAGTTTTGAAAATTAAATGAAAAGGTGTCAGTTTAAAGGTGGGTGAATTACATGACAACTCTGTGTGGTTTCTATACTACACTAACACTACCTTCCAAAGGTTTGGGTTTGGTACGATTTGTTAATGTTTTGACTACATTAATTTGATCAAAATAAAAATAATTATACAGTGAAATATTATTCAAATAACTATTTTCTATTTTAATATTTTTTAATGTAATAGGCCATATGCACAGCTGCACTACTTCCTGAACTTCAGCCAGCTCCTTGTTTCCTGCCTGCCATTATTGGCCAAACTTGATTAATTCAGGTGTGTCTGATTATTGTTGCCTTGACTACTGAGGACAAGCACACCTGAATTAATCAATTTGACCAATAATGGCAGACAGGAAACAAGGAGCTGGCTGAAGTTCAGGAAGTAGTGAATAGCCCATTGTATCCCCGTGTTGATCCATGAATCCAGTTTTCAGTCTCAAATGGTCCTTTAGAGATTATTCTAATATTCTGATTTGCTGCTCAAGAAACATTTCTTATTATTACAAGTTTTTTTTGTGTGTGTGTGTGGAGTCATTCTACTTTCATTAATATTGGATTGGATTGGATTGATTTTTATTTAAAAGGGACCAAGTGCAATTAATAACATAAATGTAAACATTTGATGCATTACACCAGAGTTAGCCTTAGGCTAATTTACATCTGCAGTCCCCCGGCACAAATAAATACAGATACATACAACACAGATTAAAATATCAACATTATTCAAGAGCATGTAACTATTATATAACTATAACATATAAACTGTTATACTTTACACTTTGGTGGAACAGTTCAAAAGAGCAGCATTTTTTTAAAAAAAATATAAATATTTGTACTTATATATATTATACCTGTCTTTACTCTTGATTAGGGCTGTCAAACTGTGCACTGTGTTTGTGTTTACATATGTGGGTGCACTGTGTAATATATACTATATATATATATATATATATATATATATATATATATATATATATATTTAAGAAATATTTTCATATATATATATATATATATATATATATATACTGTATATAGATTTATATATAATTTATAATATATATAAATATAAATATTTTATATGTAAATAATATTTTTTATTATTATAAAAATAAAACCCACATATATTATGTAAACACAAACTTTTTGGCT